ATGAGAATAAACCCTTCTCGGAGACGGACACGAAGGAGTTTCTGTACTGCCTCTACGAGTCTCAGGACGAGGGGCTGGTGAAGGACGCCATGGCCCCCTTCAAGGAAATATCCCTGCACTTGAGAAATAAAATGGACATGGTGCACTCTTCATTCTGCCTCAAGCATTGTCAAAACCTGCAGAAAATCTGGCTGCATGTAGCAAAGGGGGTGTTCCTGGAGAGTGGTCCTGCGTCGGAACCGCACGCTCAGCTTGAGAGGTAAGAACTCGGTTTACTCTCCTAGTTCCCACCATCAGTAAAACCAGAGGCATAACCGAGTCCCAAAGCAGTGAGGGGTGCCCTAGAGGGGAGAAAATCTAAGTTTTGTATGATTTTTTTTTTCTATATTAAATCATAAAATGTCTATTTTGTGCAGAGTTGATTGAGTAGCAAGTTTTGCCAATGAAGCTGCTTGCTTCATTTCTTCTCCAGGCTGCTTCGAATGTTAGGAAGATATTTATTGACTCAAATTACATTACCCTTCCATATAGTGCCTTGATAAGAGCATCCCAGAAACGTGGTCATATACAGCAAGTCCTCATTTAATGTCATTAATAGGTTCTAAAAAACTTTGACTTCAAGCAAAACGATGTATAATTAAACCAATTTTTTTTCTCATCAACCTTATAACAAAACAAGGTTATTCTGGAACCTGCTGTATGCCGTTTTGCTTAAAGTTGCAGTTTCCAAGAACCTATCCATGACATCAAGGTCTTGCCATACAATCTCTTGCCGCTCTGCAGGAGGAAGGCCAGTTGGTCCTCAGAAGAGAGTTACCTGAGTGACCAATATTGAAGGGGTAGAAAGGGGAGAGGCAGGGTTGAAAGTCACATGTTGATCGTTGGTCCAGATGAAACGTCAGCTCTGAAACAGACTGCCTTGATTTGAAATCAGCTTAGCTCAATTACATGCTGAGAGGTAGAAGGTAGTAGGAAGTGAGCATCGATGTTGAAATTGAATAGCCTGACTTGGATTTCTGTCTGCTACTCGCTGTGTGATGTGGGGCAAGTTGGATACTTTCTGTGCCTTCATTTCATGTCTTTAAGCAACCGGAAGTCCCTACTTCAGAGTAGGTGCATTTTCAGTGTATCTAATTCTAAAGTTCTTCAAAGTGCTTGGCATAAAAGAGCTTACCTACCAGCTGCTTCTTTCAATTTTACTTTGCTCGTTATTGTATTTAGCTTATTGAGTTACTTTTATTCCTTGACCATTAGTACTTTTTCTTCCATGAAAACCTTCAGATATTAGACTACTCCCTCGGTTCCACTGTGTCCCCTGGTCAATAACAAAATATCCATTAACTTTCTGACACTTCGTGGTTTTCAGGTAACCTCACCATTTTCTTAAAAATCAGAATACTTTTTTTTGTAATTACAAAGATACCACACATAAATAGAAAAATTAAAGCAATGTTGAAAAATGTAAACAAACCATGGCACCCACCAATCCTTTCCCCCAGAGGCAACCACTAGAAGAAAACATACTTTTCTTTGAAAAGTCTGAGTGTATGAGCATGTAACTACCTAAAGGTTATGTTTTCTCAAGTTTTTGCAGATACCATTTTAGGTCAACAACTATCATTGCAAAGTAGCTTGAGAAATGGCCAAATATTATGTATATGGATACACCATGAAGTACTCAAATATCTCTCATTGATATACTTATTATTATCAATCTTTTATCAATGACGTATTTAGAATTTTAACTTATTCTTACCCTCTATTGGATTGCTGTGTAAGGAGTATAAATTCTTCCTCCAGTGATACTTACTTAGGTGATAAGTTGCCTGATAGTGGCACTGAATGATTAAATCATCCAACTTTTGGAGTTATGCTTATTTATTAGGGGTGGATGCCCAGAGAAACCCATGTACTTCACCACGATGGAAAATCTTGGTTCAATAACCTCCTTCTCTTCCCTGTAGATCCCAGGATGATCAACACATAATTCCTTTCTGGAGAGACCTTTGCTCCATGTTTGGCTCAAATATGAATCTGAAATTTCTGAAGATCAGTGAAAGTTTCCTTAGTACCTCATCAGTGCAGCTTCTTTGTCAAGAAATAGTTTCTACCACCTGTTATCTCCAGAAAGTGGTGTAAGTAGAGACCAATCCCTAGATTAAAATCCCCAGGGCATGACTGGGTTTCTTACATTTTTAATATTGGAGCAATATTCAAATTCCTGTCCCAGACCCCAACCAGGTGCTCAAGACACAAGGAATTGAGAGAATCCTTCCTAGTCTTAAATTTGTCTAGTGGGATAATCACAGGAAGTATTTTTAACACGCCATGAAATATAGTTTGGATGAAGAACATCAAGATCCTGGGGAAATTCTTCATCCTATCATGATGACGACAGGGCTCTATGCAGGGCAGGATTTCTCACCCTCTGTCGACATTTGGGGCTGTGTATCTCTGTGTGTTGAGGGGGGGGATCCAGTGCATGGTAGGACAGTGAGCAGCATCCCTGGCTGCTGCCCACCAGACGCCAGCTGCACCTCCTCCCCCAGGTGCGACAACCAACAATGTCTCCAGACATTGCCAAGTGTCCCCGCGGGGTCCAAAATCACCCCTGGCTGAGATCCACTGATGCAGAGAGATGGAGAGCAGGTTGAGACATGCCTAAGAACTGAGCATTAGAAGCCTCTTGGGCTGGACAGGTGTCTGTCTGGATTATGACCAAAAATGTCATTGAATGAAGTTGGAAAGAAAGGGTAGAGCTAAGAAGCACCTGAAAAAGATAATTACATACTTACATTCAGAGCAAAGTGTGCTTGCATCCACCTAAGACAGCATTTCAGAGTCTTCCTGGAGCTAAGATTCCTTTGTGTGGATCATGTGCTTGGACAGCCCAGCAAGCCTACATCTGGGCTGGTGTCTGGTTGTGGGGGGTGGGCAAGGAGGCTAAACACAGTCTACTCAGCTAGGTTGACTTTGCTCTCAGTGAACATTCTCAGTTTCGTGGAGAGCTCTTGGGCTGCAAGCATCTTCTTTTGTATTTTTCTTAATGTAGAGAAATAAGAGCCCTTGCCCCACTAATGGTTACATTGGCCATGGGATCCTGATTCTAAATGCAAAGAGAATTCCTTAAAGTCAAACTATTCCACATGAAATAGCGTTCACAAAGGGCACCCATTGGTAACGCTTCAGGGAAAAGAAAGACAGTGGAGTTTCTAAAGGGACATTTTGTCCTGGCGTACAAAGCTTCACTTTTGCAAGATGGATAAGTTCTGGAGACGTGACAGACAGCAGTGTGAATATAATTCTCAACACTGTATCGTACACTTAAAATTTGCTAAGAGGGTAGATCTTAAGTATTCTCACCACACACACAAAAAGGAAATAGTAGCTATGCAAGATGAATGTCAATTAGCATGATTGTGGCAATTATTTTACAAGGCATACATATATCAAAACATTAAGTCAAATACCTTAAATATATACAATTTTTATTTGTCAATAATACCTCAGGAAAGATGGGGGAGAATTTAAACATGGGAAAAAATAGTTTCTAAGGTTTAACTATATCGAGCCCTTTGTTTCTGTTTGTGCACAGTATGAGTATAGAAAGATACTCGAGACATCACTTTTGTTTTCTTTTCTCTAGCCTCAAAGACATTTCCCCAGCTGATTTTTGTCAGAACTTCTGCCTCGCTTTACGTCGTCACAAGACTCTAACACATCTGACCCTTCAAGGCAATAACCAGAATGACACGCTTCCCTCATTGTGTGAAATCCTGAGACACCCAAAATGTAACCTGCAATATCTCAGGTATCTCTCTCCATCACTAAAAACCCTCATCATACAAACAGCTGCCACAAGCCTACACAGCAATTTTGTGTAAATTGGAAAAAGTCTATTTTGACTGGGCCCAGTACTACTCAAGGCAGATGGCTCAAGACAGACCATGGGCTAGAATTCAGCTTCCATTTGCCTTAAGCAGCGGACAACCTGGACAACCATACATAAGGGTCTTGAGTCCAAAGAAGCTCACAGAATCTTGGCATCATCCTCTCTGAGATCCTTTGTTTGTGGTTCATGCTTCTCCTTTGTCATGATTCAGAATACCAGCTACTTTTTTCAGACAAGGACCCTTCAGGAGATCAAGCTGTTCCTCTCTGTCAGTGCTCTGGTTTGAGAGATCTCCCCTTGGGAAGCTGTCCACCTGGTGGCTCGAGTGATGATCACCGTCACCCGTCACGGGGTTCCACAGATCCTCACTCGAACCACTTGAGTAGTAGCAGGAACACAGTTCTTAACTAGGTCCTTTCATCAGTAAGATGGGATAATATACATATCCCGAGAATTTGAGGATTGGGCAAAACCAGTCCAAGCACATCTGCATTCAATAATCTTTACTATTGTTACTAACCATTACAAATGACCCACTCTTCCTTTTCCTGTGAATTTTTTTTTTTTTTTTTTTTTAAGACAGAGTCTCGCTCCGTTGCCGGGGCTAGAGTGCCATGGCGTCAGCCTTGCTCACAGCAACCTCAAACTCCTGGGCTCCAACGATCCTCCTGCCTCAGCCTCCAAGTAGCTAGGACTACAGGCATGCGCCACCATGCCCAACTAATTTTTTCTATGTATATTTTAGTTGTCCAGCTAATTTCTATTTTTTTTATTAGAGACGCGGTCTCGCTCTTGCTCAGGCTGGGTCTCGAACTCCTGAGCTCAAACGATCCACCTCCCTCAGCCTCCCAGAGTGCTAGAATTACAGGCGTGACCCATTACACCTGGCCTTCCTGTGAATATTAACCAGGAAAACCAGGATTATTTGACTTGAAGATTTGGGTCACTTAATTAGTTTCTCAATGAATAGATGGATACACAACATGGAAGGAGACTCCATATAAATTCAGGTTTTTGGGGGAACGCTATTAACATTCTGCTTCGTGTTTCAGTTTTCCAGTTAAAAGTCTCCCTCTGTTGTAAGTTAGGCTCTAAAAGAATGGCTTTTAGCTGAATTTCAGTGAGTTTTAGCTATGTAGCACATATTCTACTTGGCATTTCTTGTGGATTATCAACTTTCTTCAACACTCAAAGGTATGACTTGTATTTCCAACTTAAAGATGGAGGAAATGAGGCTTCGTGAAGCTAAGTAGCTAGACCACGTTACACATACAGTAAATGGAAGAACCAGGGTTACAAAAGACCTCTAGAGGCCACAATGACATGTATGTTTCAGTGAAGTTCCTTTTGCTCGTAACAGTCTTTTAGGAATAGAATGTGGGTGCCGGCTTTATGATGGGCTCTGTTGACTGGACTTATGAATAAGTAGTTCTCAACATGAGGTCGCCAGGCCAGCATCACCTGGGAACTTGTTAAAATTCAAATTCTTGGGTCCCATCCCAGATCTTCTGAATCAAATTCCAGAGATAAGGCCTGTGAATTTGTGTTAATACATCTACCAGGTGAACACAGAACACCTCAAAACATAGACCAATGGCCTCTGCACCCAGGGTTTCTGACTCGGAATGACTGAGGTTTTGTGCTTCCAGCTGGTTCCAAGGACCACACTTTGACAACCACAGTTCCCAATAATTCAAGCCAGGGTGTAACATAATGAGCAAGAGATAAAACCGACAGCCATTCTTTGGGGTTGTGGTGTTCGGATTCTCAAGAATGACCTGTTCCCATTCTCCCACAGGCTGGTGTCCTGCTCTGCTACCCCTCAGCAATGGGCCGGTCTCTCCTCCGCCCTGGAAGCCAACGAGTCCCTGACGTGCCTGATCCTCTCGGCCAACAAGCTCATGGATGAAGGCGTCAAGTTGCTGCACACAACTTTGAGACACCCGAAGTCCGTCCTGCAGAAGCTGTCGTAAGTCTCTTCTCTCCATGAAGAGTCTCCGTTTTAGATCCGGGGCATGATGAGAAGAGAAATGGTCACCCCCTCCTTGCTGAGCAGCCCAGATGGAACCTCCTATCGATAGACACTTGGCCCCCGTTTTCAGACCCAGGCGGTTGACTCATGAATCTAGGTCTTCTCTCATTCCTGTTCCTTCATATGTGATCACTAGCACGTGACCGGGAGGGCGGGGAATTAACAAGAAGGGCTTTAGGACGCCAGCACTTGGAGACAGCCGAGAAGGCTGGACTTGGGAAATGTTCTCACCGTCTTACCGTTTGCGTGATCCTTTTGCAGGTTGGAAAACTGTCACCTTACAGAAGCCTGTTGCAAGAACCTCGCTTCTGCTTTGATTATCAGCCAGAGGCTAACACACCTGTGCTTGGCCGAGAACACCCTTGGGGACAGAGGGGTGGAGATTCTGTGCGAGGGCTTGCGTTACCCCGAGTGTAAACTGCAGATCCTGGTGTAAGTCCCTGTCGCCTGCCTGTATGTGACAGAGTATTTGTGCACACGTACCCCGGGATTCAAGTAGGACAGTGACGGGGACAACTAGTAACTTCTCTACATACCCCACGCGTGACACTAATGGTTACAACTGGCGAGACCCGGGGAGAGGGTGACAGAACAAAATATAAGAAGTGGTGTTAATATTCTATAGGGATAGCTGGTTTCCAGGTCTGATTTTTAAACTGTGTGCTTAGAACTACATAATACAAACTGCACGCAATTGGGTGTCGATGGGCCTTATTTGCCGAGCTCCATATAATCTGACTGTTAATTCTAAAATCACAGGACAGATTTTCAGAAAAGAAGGGGGCTACGCCAGCTGTTTCTGTTCAGAGACTCTATTTAGTGTTAACATCTCTGGGTGTTCTTTCTGTCTATAAAGTCACCTCCAAGAGTAAGAAACTTTGAACTTTTCCTGTAAACTAGTTTTAATCTAGAATATGCCTTAAGGCACCCAGTGTCTGAAAACTACTCGCTTACTTAAACTTAATGAAGTATTTGGTTCAGGGTTGGAGATAGGTAGGAGGAAAGGGTTCTTCCCTCTCCAAATTTCTAAGCACCCCCCCCCAAACACTCAAATATAAAGTTCCATAGGCAAATAAGATGCCACCCACCCCCTAGCCCTATCTTCCAATTAAAGTCTAATTGTATTAGAAGTTGCTACCATTCAAGATATCTAAACACAGAAAAAAAATGGTTTATTAAGTATCTAATAGGTACCAGGCACTATGCTAAGATCTTGCCAAAGATGATTTCATTTAATCTTCATAGCCTTTTAAGATACACACTCATGTCTCCCAGTTTACAGGTGAGAAAACTGAGGTTCAGCCACCCAACCCCCCAGGTGTACATCACTGTAGAAAGTACGACTCCCAGAAAATACAGGTCGAGTCCTTTCTACCTCAACTCAGGTTGTTTCATCGATGCCCCCATTTCGCTAAGTTGTCAAAACTTGATTTTAGTCTTACTGGGACCTTCCTCTGCCACCCCACAGTCATGGCAGTTTTGATAAATTTACAAATTGCCAAGCCATGGGGCGCATCTTCATTCCTCTCCATCCATATGGGCCACCCTCAAATCTGTCATCATTTTCACTGTCTAGGTCCTATGGCCCTTGGCTGCTGTGCCTTGCTTGGGACATTATGATATCATTTTATTACAATATAATTAAGTTCAGAATTCTAGTAAGACCGAAGAAAGCAAAAAAAAAAAAAAAAAACAAAGCTAAGGTGAAATATCACTGATATTCTGTATTGATTAATACTGGGATGTAGTACCAGATAGGCCTGAATCGGAGCTAGTGTCCTCCACCTCTAAGATGCTACCTTTTCTAGCAACTGAATTTAGGAAATATAATTGATCACTTCCCCTAGTAGAAGGCGGCAGGGGGTTGGCAGTCAGAAGTGGTCACCACCGGCCTGGAATCAAGGTGTCAGTAGAATTGTGTTCCTCCTGGAGGCTCCAGGAGAGAAAACCTTCCCAGCTTCCACTGGCCACCTGCATTCCTTGGCCCATGGCCCCTTCATCAGCCTCGCGACCAATAGTGTAGCATCTTCCAATGTCCTCTGACCCCTTTGTCGTGTCTTCTCCTGCAAACTTTGACCGTTTCGTCTCCCTCTTGTAAGGATCCGTGTGACTGCGTTGGACCCACCCGCACCGTGCAGCATAATCTCCCCACCTAAACGTCCCTGAATCACATCTTCAAAGTGCTTTTTGCCATGTCCACGGGTCCAGGAATTAGGGCTCAGACTTCTCTAGGAGGCCATTACTCTGTCTACCGCACCACCCCATGGTGTGGTCTCTAAGTGTGTCTAAAACCCACGGCTGGATCGTGGTTTGGTGTGTGGCAGCAGCCAGGACTGACGGGGCTGTCTTATTTTCCCTTCCTGGCACCGCTTCCTAGGCTGTGGCACTGCAACATAACCGACAATGGCTGCAAACACCTCTCGAAGGTGATCGAACAACAATCAAGCCTGACACATTTGGATCTGGGGCTGAATCACGTTGGAATTACCGGACTGAGGTCTCTGTGTGAGGCTTTGAAGGAGCCACTGTGTAACTTGAGATGTCTGTGGTGAGTGGTGCTTGCTTGAACGTTTTTTTTTTTTTTTTCCCATCATATTATGGGGGTACAGATGTTTAGGTTATGTATGTTGCCCTTGCCCCGCCTCCCCCCTAAGTCCGAGTTTCAAATATGTCCATCCTTCGGGCGGTGCATTGCACTCTTTGTGTATGCATATACCCGTCCCCTCCTCCCTCCTCCCCCATCCCCCTTGCCCAACATCCAATAGATGTTAGTCTTATATGTGCACTTATGTGTTGATCAGTTAATACCAATTCGATGGTGAGCTTTTTTAATCTAGGCCTGAAATGAAATATCGGTATGGTAGATCCCTCCAGCATTTAAAGTCTATTGAGTGTTTTAAAAATCCATTCGGATGGTTGAAGGAATAGGCTCTAGTCTGTGACATCCAAAGGCCACCCATGGAAAGTTTTAAGGATGCAATACCTCAGGCCATGGAGAAGCAGCCGCTGCTGCCCAACCCCCAACACTCAAAGAGGTAGGAATTAGACATTGCACCAGAACACGTCGGCCCATGAGCAGGTGAGTGGGTGCCACTCGGTTCCGTCTTACAAATCTCACGAGAATTAGGTACCGTCAATCAGATGCACCTGAATCTGGAATCCTACCTGTAAGGAACTTAAAAGATAATTAAATTGCACATATAAGTGAGATGATGTGGTATTTATGTGCCTGGCTTGTGTCACCCAGCATAATGTCCTCCAGCTTCATCCATGTTGATGCAGACGGCAGAATCGCCTTTTATGGCTGAGGAATGTTCCAGTGTATGAATAGACCACATTGCTTTATCCATTCCTCTGCTGAGAGACACTTGCATGGTTTCCATATCTGGGCTATTGTGAATAATATTGCAATGAAAATGAGGGAATCTAAAAAAGTTGAACTCAGATTAATAGAAGCGGAGAGTAGAATGGTGGTTTCCGGGGACTGAGGGGCAGGGAAGTGAGGAGATGTTGGTCAAAGGGTATAAACTTTCAGTTATAAAATGAACAAGTTCGGGGGATCTAATATACGGTATTGGTGGTGATGGACGTGCTGATTATGGCGATCATTGCACAGTGTGCAGGTGTCTCAAATCATCACGTTCTACACCTTGAATATTTGCAATCTTTGTCAAATATTTTAAAAGAAAAGCAATTAGTTTTCTGGCCTCTACAGTACAAGAAGGTATAGTGAAGTCGTAGTGTTTAACCCTACTTCATAACAGAAATGCTTGGAGTTTTGAAAATCCTGGTGCCCGGGCCACACCTAAATCAGGTCTCTAGAAGTGAGACTCAGGCATCAGTATTTTTTAAAATTTTTAATTGACACATAATTTTATTTATGGCATACAATATGTGTTGATATATGTACACATTGTGGAAGGTTAAGTCAAGCTAATTAACATATATAGCCTCACTCTTCTGTAGTGAGAACACTTAAATCTACTCTCAGCAATTTTCGAGTATGCTATATATCATCGTTAACGGTAGTCACAAGAATGGATGATAGATCTCTTAAATATATTCCTTCTGTCAAACTGAAATTTTGTATCCTTTGACCCACATCTGCCCAATTTCTCTACCCCCAGCCTCTTGAAACCACCACTCTACTCAGTTTGACTTTTTTAGATTTTGTATATAAGTGAGATCACCAAGTATTTGTCTTTCTGTGCCTGGCTTATTTCACTCAGCATAATATCCTCCAGCTTCATTCACATTGTTGCAAATGGAAATATTTCCTTTTTTAAGGCTGAATAATGTTTTATCGTATATATGCACCACACTTTCTTTATCTGTTCATCCATTGATGGACACTTAGGTTGATTGAGTATCTTGGGTATTGTGAATAGTGCTGCAATCTGGCGTCAGTATCTTAAAGCTCCAGCATGAGGCAGTATATGGTGAGGATGCCAAGTGTGCAGATCCCTGGGCTCACAGGCAGGGAACCACTGGTTGCTACTGTTCATGGTCTGTACCTACTTGCAGGTGAACAGACACAGCTGGGGTAGGGAAGGATGGCCACCCTTTATGTGGCCAGCTATAACTTGCTGGCAGTAGTCTCAGTTACACATTCTAGGAAATAGGGTTAGTTGATTCCATTGCAAAAGGTGATTATGATAGTGAAATGTGTATGCGTGTTACTCAAGTATGTGCCAGGCCGTATGCTAAGTGTTAGGTGTTATGTTTGGCCTATTCAGGATCCTGGAGGAAACCTAACTATGATATATTCCCTGATCTCGTGTGTGTGCATATGTTTGTGTGTATGTCTGTGCACGTATAGGCATAGCCCTTGAACATTCATGTGTCCCTTGTATATGTCTTCTGCCCACGTGACAGTTAGGTTTCCTCCCTTTTTTTGTTTGATTGATTGATTGAGACAGAGTCTCGCTCTGTCACCTGGGCTAGAGCGCTATGGCATCAGTCTAGCTCACAGTAACCTCAAACTCCTGGGCTCAAGCGATCCTCCTGTTTCAGCCCCCTGAGTAGCTAGGACTACAAGCGCGCGCCACCACACCAACCCAGTTATTCTATTTTTAGTAGAAAATAAATTTTCTTGGTCTCGCTCTTCCTCAGGCTGGTCTTGAACTCCTGACCTCAAGGGATCCTCCCTCCTCGGCCTCCCAGAGTGAAAGGATTACAGGCGTGAGCCACCACGCCCAGCCCATCTCCATACTGCTTTTATCCAACATCAAATTTTATACCTCTCCTTAGAATTCTGATAGGCAGAATTTAGATGCTTGTCTGAAACTGATCTTTTATCCACCAAAAACAGTGGTAGGAATTCTATCTCAAAACAAACTACTTACAATGGCCAAAGGGTCTTATGTGAGCTGCCCCCTTTTTGCCCGTGACCTCAGCTCTTACAATGCACCCCCACCCACCCCGTGGCTTACTCTCATGCTGGCTGCCTTGATCGTCTATTAATTTACAGGATAACCATATGCAACCTCAGGGCCTTTGCACAAGCTACTTCTCTGCCTGGAGAGCTGCTGTTCCAGATCTCTGTGGTTCATGCTCTTCACCTCTCAAATTGCCTTCGACCATTGCATTGCAGTTAGAACCCCTGGCTACTCCGTTTGTCCTTTGTCCCTTGTCCCTCACTTCTATATGGCACCAGACACTCATTATTCTCCTATCAGCAGATGAGCTCTGAGGGGAAAGGCTGTGTTGCTCATGTAGATCCCCAACACCCAAGAGTGTGCCCAGCATATGGGACGGTATCCGTCAGCATTGGTTGAATTAATGAGTTGAATTCTGTGTTTTGCCAACAAGGTTGTGGGGTTGTTCCATCACCCGCTTCAGCTGCGAAGACCTCTCCGCTGCCCTCGGCAGCAACCGAAGCCTGATCACTCTGGACTTGGGCCAGAATTCCTTGGGGTTTAATGGGGTGAAGATGCTGTGTGAAGCCTTGAAACGTCAAAATTGCCCCCTCCAGACACTCAGGTATGGTCCTTCTACTCTCCAGCATGTCTCCTCTGTGACAGTAGGTTTTGGGGGAGCACAGACGGCAGGCATTTGTCACAGGCATGGCCACTAACATTCAGCTTTCATGCACTGGTGCTTGGTGGCCAGGCGATTCGCCTGTTCGCTGCCTCTGTTGCTTTGGTGGATAAGGTAAGTCAAGGAATGCGACCAACACTCAGTCTGAAACCAGGAAGCTGGATTTATAGCCTAACTGGGGGAGAGCTGTGGTGGTTGGCCACTTGTTAGGGAAATCAAATTGCAGATCTCAGAGGGCGCTTTTGGAAAGAGGGCTGGTACGTCGACGTCAGCCTTGGAAGCATGTTCTCTGGAGTGACTCTTCTGTCTGAGAGTGGTCTGGGGCAGTAGAAGCTATCGCCAACTGTCTCTTGTACACTTGCTCATTGGAGCAAGTTGTCATTGGGTCCTGTTTGCTTGTTACTATGGCAGCAAAGAACCACACCCCCTTCCTAGGAGTATGGGAACTTTTTGACATTTTCTGACGCAACATAGTCTACTGGTAGCTTAAAATCACAATTATGTAGAGAAGTAGAAGACACATAGATTATATATTTAATATGAATCCTTTTAGAGACAGAGTCTCGTTCCATTGCCTGGGCTAGAGTGCTGTGGCGTCAGCCCAGCTCACAGCAACCTCCAACTCCTGGGCTCAAACGATCCTCCTGCCTCAGCCTCCTGAGTAGCTGGGACTATAGGCGTGAGCCACCACGCCTGGCTTATTGTTCTATTTTTAGCAGAGACAGGGTCTTGCTCTTGCTCAGGCTGGTCTCGAACTCCTGACCGCAAGCAATCCTCCCGCCTCGGCCTCCCAGAGTGCTAGGATGACAGGCGTGAGCCACCGCGCCCAGCCTTAACATGAACCTCAGCCCTAAGTTACCTTGTGAGTCAAAAGAAGGAATGTGTGGATGCTAAAGTCTTGTTTTTTTCTTTTCCTAGCCCTTTTGTTATAAGTTAGCCCTCCCACCTTAGATAATATTGATGAGTTTTAATCATGACATAAGGCCCCCAACAAAGACAACAGTGGGGGTGTTTCTTTGGACCAGCCGGTCAGACATTCTTTCCTGGGTCTTTGAGTTTCAAGATCAGTGATTCAAGGTGCGGGCTTCTGCCTGGATCCTAGATCCTAGAAAGGTATAATGCCTCAGCCCTGACCCTTCTATAATTGAGTTTTTATCTCTCTGATGCTGTCGGATACCCCATAGCCTTCTAATATGCCCTTCTAAGTTACCTGAAGTCACTGTCTCTTACTTGCAGCCAAAGAACCCTAATGTCACGCCTCATGTGGTCCTTCACACCCCATTTCTGATTCCTTCCACAATTTTGGCCCCACATGGATTTGGCCATGGGGACTGTTTTTGTTCCTCTACCACAGGCTGGCCAACCTCCAACAGTCCTGAATCAACACAATTACACTCAACCTTGGAGGATCATGTTTAAAACATTTTGAAGCTAGTTGACCTTTATCTTATCCAAAGTTATTAGTATTTTAGTCACCTACAACACATCCACTCAAGCTGGCTTAAGGTTGCATTGGGTGTATGTGAATCTCAAACAACAAAAACTGATACCAAAAGCCAAGACTGCAATGCTAACAAGAAACATGGAAACCAATATCCTTGGTCTGTCATCTTCATACATATTTTGATGTAGTGATTCCCTCTCCCCTCCCTTTCCTGCCCTCCATTTCCACATACACAAGGCTAAATATAATTACCACAAAACCCTAAAAACGAGGCCACCATCATCACAGGCCAAATAACAGGTGGTGGTAGTCAGCTAGTATCTTGTAGCCAAGGAGGTGGTGGGGACAAAGGCTGGCCTGGCTGGCTTGGTTCAAGATATAAATCTCGTCTGTGTAACTGGTACTCCTGTGTGCACCAAGCGGAAGTTGTCCACGTGGGCTGCGGAGCAGGTAGGCCGGTATTAGAGCGATGTCACAGATGGACCCATCACTTCCATCTCACTCCTCATACAGCGTGAAGATCATCCAGGTATCCCAAGCTACACAGCGGCTTTGTACCATGTCAGTGTAAACCTGGTATCTTTTTTCCCTATCAAATCAATATGGAACTCTACTTTGCAGCATAAAATAATCAAGAAAGGTGGCCCGTGTTCTGTGCATCCTTAACACGTGAGCCTTTCAGGCACTGGGGAACTTGAAATGGATCTCCTTGAAGCAACAAGCAACCTTTCCCCCACCTTGTCCCCCAGGTTGAAAATAGAGCGATATGATGCTCCGATGCAGAAGCTGCTGGAGGAAATGAAAGAAAGCAACCCACAGCTGACCATTGAAGACGACAGGTACGATCCCAGGAAGAAAAGACCTTCTTCTCGCTACTTCGTTCTCTGAATCCCCTGCAGTCGCGCCTTCGCCGGTGAAGTCGGGTCCTCGAGGTATTGACGGAAATGGATCTTCGAGGTTTTCCTGTGGAGCCGCCTCAGGGACAAGCCGGTTGCTGGGCTAGATGTCACTTCCCCTTGGTTCTGCCTGCACACGTCCCTTCACCCTGTAGATGTTAGAGAAATGTCTGCCACAGGTCTATCGAGGGAAATAAAGGTGAAAGCATTCATGAAGGAAGCTGGATGTATTGACGGGTTCTGACAAAAATTAGAGAACACATAGCTTATTAGGGGAGAACCGATCCCAGGGAAAAAAGCGACAAGTGTTTTGCACTGATTTCTGATGCCCTTCCAGTCTGTGCTCGGTGCTGGCAGTTCTCGGCCTGCATGGTTGGCTGTGTGCGGAGCCTTCCTCGCCAGAGTACTTCTCACTAACCATACAGTATTTTGGACTCTTAGGTGCTTCCAGGTAGCTCATACATGACCCTGTCGTTGCTCTGATTAGCTTCAGATCCAACTTACAGAAAACATAACTTCATGGCATGTACAGCCCTTCCCCATAGAGTCCAGTGGTTTCTTGTGACGTGCAGAGTCCCCAAATGCACTAAGGCAGCGGTGCCGGCCGTACCCTGTGAGAAGGCTAAACAAGGGGCTATTTGTGAACTCTGAGGTTCAGGGTAACAATTCCAATGCTGCTGTCTGTATATACAGGGATGAGCAAATAAACAGGGTAGGGGGGAAAATAACAGAAAAAATTACATTTTATTAATGCTCAAGCATTTTTGTAAAGCTAATGCAATGTGTAATTTAAGCAATGCTTACATAAGCATTAATAAAAAGTAATTACTGTTTTCAACTTAACTATTAAAATTCAACAATTCTTCTAATCTTCCTACTTTCTCCATCAGGGCCATCAGTTTAACACTCTCACCAATTAGACTAAGTTCCAGATGTTGCCTTTAAACCCCCTTCTACATGCCCCATCATTTCAGCAATGTCGCTGCGTGGAGCGTGGGCGTCTGGGGTTTGCTGTACCTGTCCTTCTGTTTCCAGTTCAAGGTCTCCTTGTTCAACCAGGCATAGGTCATTCCTAGCGCTTCCTCCTCAGGTTCCTGGAGGGGAGTGGCGGTCGGTAAAAGAAGAAAGGCACTAAGTTAAAACTAGAATGGAATTTCCATGTCTTCCAGCTAAGGGTTTCTCCTCCTCTGCACTACTGCCATTTGGAGCAGATAATTCCTTGTTGGGAAGGAGACTGTCCCGTACATTCATAGGGTGTTCAGTAGTATCCCTAGCCTCTGCCCGCTAGGTTCTAGCACCCCCCTCACAGTTACTGCAACCAAAAATGTCTCCGGGCATTTGAGGATATCTCCTGGGGTACACAATGCCCCTAGGTTGAGAAACACTGTAATCTAACGCAATCCCTCTCTTAAGAGAAGAAATTGAGTAACCTGGTTACATCAGTTTAGGGGCTCTGTATTGACATCCCAGTAGCCCGTGAAATGTAAACTTGTGCTCACAACTAAATTCACTGTCTTTCCCCAATGCATGTATTTCATCCTGAGTTCCAGCCACACACACCCACCCTCATGACCTACACGTAGTACTCAAGAGCTGAGACACTGGCATGAGGGTTCATGTGTGTCTGCATGGATTCGTATGTGTCAGGAGGTGAACAGGTACAGCTGTCCCTCTTTTCTTGGTACCTCCTTACCCAAGACCACTGGCCTCAGCTGTCACTGAATTCCGAAAATGTGGCCTGAGTCCCATAGCAACATCAGCACATGCCTGCTCCGGATCTGGTCTTGCTGATGAGCAGGAAGGAAGTATTCACTGTGGGTTCTTTACTAAGGTGTATGGAAAACCTTCCTTCACAATTCCACAACTGCCTCCATTTGCTGACGCTGCAATAGAGAGCCGTGTGCACCCCGTGGACCGGTTAGCCCGGGCGGTGGGCTTGGGAAGTGTTCCTGGACAGAAGTAAGAGCCAGGAGTCGAGGGAGTCTGACCCCTACACCACCCTCTGTGCCTCCAAACCTCACTTGCAGGCTTCTCTGGGCTAAGGTCACTCCCGTCCGCTAAGCCACGGTTCTCTCAATCCCCGGCTGTCCCAGAAGCACAGGCTATTCGGGTAAGAGGCCAGGTCATGGGAGCTCTCAAGGTGCCTGTTTACTGAACAGCAAGGCTCTAGCCTGAGTAGGTTGTGCCTTCTTTTTTGTGGTAAAATATACAAAACATAAACTCTACTGTTTTAACCATTTTTAAGTGTACAGTTCAGTGGCAATAAGTACATTCCCATTGTTACGCGACCGTCACCGCCGTCCATCTCCAGAACTTTTTCATCTTCCCAAACCGCAACCCTGTACCCATTAAACACTGACTCTCCACACACCCCAGCCCCTGGCAACCACCATTCCACTTTCTGTCTCTGAGTTTGACTATTCTAGGTACCTTATATGAGTGGAATCATACAATATTTGTTCTTTTGTGACTGACTTATTTCACTTAGCATGATGTCTTTGTCAAAGTCAAAACACAGAGACAAATCTCTAAATTTAAAACATTTTATGTGGGAAGCAAAATTGTGATCAGGGAATACACACAGACCAGGAGGTCTTCAGTATGTCCAAAGAGCAAGAAGGTTAGAGGTTTTATCCTTGAAAAAGAGAAATGGTACATGTTGCTCTTTGAGAAATTTCACTGGCACTACTAAAGTGCTGGGGGGTGGTTGGCAAGTTCTGACTGGTAAGTGATGATAGTGGGTAAAACTGTTCTTAGAGTCACAGCAGTTTTCAGTGGCTATTAGCTAAAACTCATCTCAGGTCACAGCAGGCAGTGCCTGGCTAGGCTTGCAGAGAATCATGTTCTTGGATCGATGTTATGTGCCCTGAGTGCCTTTTTTCCCTGGCTTCTTGACTCTGTTTTAGTTGGGTATGACACAAACGACCCAGTTCATATGATCAACTTTCACATCTTCAAGGTTCATCCATGTTGTGGCATGTTTCAGAATTATAAGACTGAATAATGTCTCGAGTCTCGAACTCCTGACCTCAAGCCATCCTCCTGCCTCGGCCTCACAGAGTGATAGGATTACAGGCATGAGCCACCGTGCCCGGCCCTGAATAATATTGTGCGTGTACACACACACACACACCACATTTTGTTTGTTCGTTCATTCATCAACGGGCAATCGAGTTGCTTTCACCATTTTGCTATTGTAAATAATAGTATGAACATGGATATACAAATATCTGGTCAAGTCCTTGCTCTCAGTTCTTTTGGGTATATGCCCAGAAGTGGAATTTCTGGATCATATGGTAATTCTATTTTTAACTTTTTGAAGAACGACCATATGGTTTTCCATAGTAGCTGCACCATTTTACGTTCCCACCCGCAAAGTGCTTAGGGTGGTGTTGCTTGATGCAAAGTCATTCTCCTGGGATTCATTAACCTCCAGCTTGGAAATCCCTTTGCTTCTCTGTGTCTGAGATGCTAGCTTATGGAACTGTGCCTAGAGAGAAGCTATTGCCTGGGGGAAGACAGCCTTCTCTACCTAGGTTTACAACGCCACGATGAAAATACTTTTTCTTCAGTATACTTATGGTTATCTTGTTCCTGATTCTTTGTGTTTGTTTCAATCCTTAGAAATTTCTAGGACCTCCCTTTTGTCCAAGTTGTCAGAAGCCTCACATTGAATGTGGGGGTCTACAGTTCTGCTATAAAATGACGTATGCATTCCTTAAAGTCAGCATGCCGGGTGACTACGGCCACACCCAGATGTCATCTTAGCTCACCTTCATGGTGACCCCCGGGGGGGGGGGAGTCACTTTCCAAGGTCAGGGGTCATCTCAGGGTTTGAGGTTCATTCTGACAGGAGCTGGAACCCCCTGTGCTTATGAGTCAGACGCACGGAGGACCGAGCTGCCCTCCGCCTGACAGCTGTGTCAGCAACAGAGAGGCTCCAGCCTGCGGCAGAGACAGCCCCACAACATATAGGGACTGGGGACCGTGACGGGGAAGCATTTCTGGTGTGATCCCACGTACTCCCTAGGAAAAATCACCCCACACAGAGACACGAGGGTATCAGGGAGCAGGGCTTCATTTTAATTTTTATTAAGGTGAAATTCACATAACATAAAATTGACCATTTTAAAGGGAACGCTTTGTTGACATTTAGCACAATACACTCCTAGTGTCGCACAACCGTCACCTCTGTCTAGCTCCAGAACATTTTCATCAGCCTAAAATAAACCCCGTGCTGATTAAGCAGTTATTCTTCACCCCTCTGCCTCCCTGGGCCTGGCAGCCGCCGTCTGCTTCCCCTCTCTAGGGATTCGCCTGCTCTGGCCATTAGGACAAGGTTCAGACTTTGGGCTCTTTTCCTAACGTGAAGGGAAGCCATCGCCATGCTGGTACAGTTGTCATTTTACACTCACAAAAGGGAATAGCATGACCAGCTGCCAGAAGGGACCAGGCCTGTTCCGAAAACCGAAAGATTTGCCCGACTGCAGCCTAAGGTGGGGTGAGGGTGCAGAGTAGGCGTGGGGATAACGGAGACGAGCACAGAGGGCCAAGGGGGAAGCATGGGAGGGTTTTGCACAGAGTTAGGGACAGAGTCAGCCGTGAGGAATGGGAATGTTGGTGATCAGTGTGGAAGCCACACGAGAGGGTGGAAGAAAGAGGCCAGTGTGGCCCAGTCGGGGACCCTAGATCCACGGTGTGCAAGACCGAGGAGATTTGGGCCTCCAGATTCCTGCCAGCCCCAGTGGGAGGATGTCCTTGGACAGAGGAACAAATAGACACCAACTCAACAACTGGATGGAGCCCCAAGAAGAGGCCCCATGGCCCCCCTTTCCATGGCGGTGGCCTCTGCCCTCCTCCCTCACGCTCCACACACTCCACACACATCTGCATCCATCTCTCAGGTCCGGCCATGCCTGGAGCACTGACGGCTATGGATGTAACCCCTGGTGACGAGCATCTGGTCGACCTCTCTCCGGACAGCCGTGTGATCTCTGGGTCTGGGGGAGGGGTGGGAGTGGCCTCTGCACCGCTCGGACCCTGTGCAGCAGGGGTCTCCTCCGCCTGTGCCAATCCTCTGCCAGAAGCCCCGCCAGGAGTATGAGGATCGCAGCACCAAGGCAAATCCGAGCCAGGTTGCCCTTGGTGTAGTGCAGCCGGGCAGGGGCTGGAGCAATGAGAGAAGGGGCAGGTGGTAAAAGCCCATCCCCAGAACCAAGTCCCGTCTGACACCCTATTACAGAGCAGATGCCAATCTCTTTCCTAGGGGTCCCTCCCTTCGCCACCAAGGGTCAGGGCTGGATGGCCCCAATCCTCTAACTAGCACCTCTCCCTGTGTCCCCTCACAGGCCTCCGATACAACCCCTCCCCAGACACAGACACTGCCTGGTTATCTGACCATTTGCAGAGGAGAAGACAGTTATCAGGGATGCAACAGACAGGGAATCTTTCTTTCTCTGACCCTTTGGAAAATCTCATCCTTCCCACCTGATCTTATCACGCAATTCTGAACTCCATATGCTGATAATCCGCCCCCATCCCCTTAATATTTCATACACCAGAACCCAAGATCACAGAGCTGTAGCCCTGCATAGGGAAAGGAGGCAGCTTTGGGTGAGGAGCCAGAGGCGAGAGCGGCACGGGTCTGGGAAGGACGACTTACTCACCGATTGGAGAGCCTGACTCCTCGGGACTGGAGGTGATATTCCTAGAAGTCTCTGGGAACCACAAAAGGCGACGTGTCAATAAATGGAACCCTCTCCCCTAGCCTGGTCACTGTCCCTACCCTGAACACACACAATTGGGAGGCAGAATTCCACGGCATTTAAGAAGAGCGTGAACTATAGCACCAGGCTGCCCAGATTGGAACCCCAAGTCCACCCCTTATTAGATGTGGGACATCTGGCAGGTGACAACATCTACAAGCCAATTTTCCCATCTGTCCAATGAAACTAATGGCATCAACATATCATAGGTTGGTGTGAAAATTAAAATAAAAACAATAGTAGTACAAACCACAGTGCTTGGTTTATAATCAGCACCCCACACACGCTAGCTCTCTTACTATTCCACAAGTATTTCCTGAAACTGGCGGGTACTCAGCCATGTGCTGGGCTATGGGGACCCAAATATTAACAAGACATGGTCCTTGTGGGGTTTCCACATTACTGGAGGAGACCAGGAAGTGATCACTTTAATATATTGTGAAAACTACTGTAATAGGTAGCCCTCAAGACACTCAGCGAGGTCGGAAGAAACCCCCGATCCACGCTGGTGGTCAGAAGAGGCTTCCCTGGGAGTTGAAGCCCTGGGGAATGGAAGGAAAGGCAAAGCGAGGGGTCTGGGTGCGGAGTCGGGGAGGATATGGAGCACCGGGAAGAGTCCGAAGCGACGCCGTGGGGCCCAGCGCAGCGTGAGGAGCGCAGGGAAGGTGGGCAGACACGACGGCAGGGGCCAAGAGAGATGGAATATCTAAGCCCATTGAACAGCAGGCCGAGGAACCCGCTGCATCCTGAGCGGGAAGTGGAGGGTCTTGAGCGGAGGGTGGGGAAGGATCCCACCGCAGTGTTGGAAAGAACCCTCTGGGATCAGAAGTCTAAAGCAAGCCAGAGTCCTGTGGGCCCAGTGGACATACCTAGCCTAGCCCCCGGGGATCTGTCACTGGCGTTCTGTCTGGAAGGAAACGGAGGCTTTCCAGGAAAAGCGAGGGGAAAGGAAACAGCCGTGCAAGCAAAGCGCGTGCGCAGAGGCCCGGGGCAGCGAGACGTACGTGTCACGGCACTTGTGGGCTGTGTGGGGCCGAAGCACACGCAGGCTCTACACGGAAACAGTGGGGACACGACTGAACACTTCGAGCCGGGTCGGAAGGGCCGGGGCTTTGCCCTGAGAGCGGCGTGTGGGGACTGGGCGGTCTTCCCGCCACGGCCTCGGCTCCGCCATCTTTAGAATGGCCACGTTACCCAGAATGCTCCTGTTCCCCAGCCTCGGCGCCGCCTCCGCCCCGCCCTCTGTCCTCGAATCCGGACTCGCTTGGGAAGAGCCCACAGGCCCAGATAATGGAAGAGAGAGTCCCACCCTCAAGCTGCACTCTGCCTAGCTCTAAGTGCCTGGCTACTCACCGGTTGGAGAGACTTTGCTCGAGGGTGAGACGTTCTGTTTCCTGGAGGCTTCTGGGAACCCCAGCAGGAGGGTTGTAAGGAAGAGAAATAATGTCAGGCCTTCCCAGCGGGTCCCCGCTCCCCACAGCCCTTGTGAGCTGTGCAGGCTCCCTGGGGCCCCCTTGCCTGTCACACACGGCGCAGACACCGAGGAAGCCAGTTCTCAGGCCCTGAGACTTATTTCCGTCCCTCAGTGGCTTGCTCAGAAGCGACCATCCACCCGATGGTGGACATCTGGGTTGTTTCCACTTTGGGGCTATTACGAACAGTGCTGTTGTGAACGTTCACGTACAAGTTTTTGTGTGAACGTAAGTTTTCAGCGTTCTTGGGTCCGTGCCCAGGAGCAGAATCCTGGGCCGTGCGGTCGCTCTATGTTTGCCTCCTCCAGGAACTGCCCCCTGTCGTCAAAGCGCCCGCACCGTCTCACACTCCCACGGTCGTGTAGGAGGGTTCCAGTTCCTCCGAATCCTCACCAACACTTGTTTCTGTCC